ATAGCTCCCTATTAGCAAAAAAAAATAAAAAAAAATACAAACCGTTCCAAAACCGAGCTCTCCAAAGTTTCAGCGACCTTCACAGAGCAGCTGTTCCAAATCCAAAAACGTCATTCCACAGACAATCAGATGTTTTGTGTTTACGCGGGGAAATGTCGATTTACGTTTTGTCGCGCAGTTCTATTTTCAAAACATACCAAAAAACCAACACAGCGCGTTTTTTTTATTCAAAACAGGTGAACATCCAAAGAGTTCAGTATATGGAAGTATATTAGGTCCATTTCACACGCGAAAAGGATCAAAAGCGCTCCTAACCAGAATTCCACGTTCGATAGCGTTACATACGCGACCGCTCGCTTCGCTAGCGGAGTCCACACTAAATTCAACATCTCAATAGCTTTACTCTTGGCACTTGTTTGTTGATACTCAATTAATTACACTTGTTTGCCTATAGTCGCGACCCTAGTTAATGAAAATGGAAAATTTAGGGCGTCAGACACAGTATCTCACAATCTTTATCTTCGAACAAATTTACTGTTATAATTGTGTTGAATTAAATCTGTTTTTTTCTTTTTGTAACTATTTGTGTTTTTATACCACTGTTTATTGCACTTTTCGTAACAGTAACTTTGATCCTTTAACGCACGTCCGAAGTGTGTTCCTTCACAAGTTTCTTTGACCACTAAAACCATTAAACAAATCTTGACGACCTAATGGGCCACTTTTTCTTTGCCACTATAAAAGAGAATTTATCGTTTTGTCACTTTCTATTTACCAATCTAGGATTTGTAGGTTAGCCTCTGCGTAAAATACGAAAATAGATTGTCGGATATTTTTATTTTTGAATAATATTTGAATCAATGTTCGATCCGCGGTCCGCTGTACATAACTGAATGGTTGAGGTCGAAATGCGAATGAATTCTATATTTAAAATCGGTCTCAAGGCTTTCCACGTGCTATGCAAAATTTAAATGATTAAAAATAGAATATTGCTGTTCGACTTGGCATTTGTTTTTTTTATAAACACTAAAGTGTAAAGGACATTTCGGTTAAAAGCTTCGATGTTGTTTTAATAATATGTATGGCATGTAAGTACACAAATTAAAAACAAATTAAACAGAATCAGAAAATTGAAAGTGATTTGCTTTCGAGAGCTCTTAGTAAGATAACACGTTCCATAGTATCTACCTCCCAAGACTAACTCCAAAGTCATTGACATAATAGCTCCACTTTGTACACAATTTGTTTTATAATTATAAAATTACTTTGCTGGTGATTTTTAATAATCCTATAATGAAACTTATGAATACGTATTTTAAAGTCACATTATACCATTGGTTTTTAATGAAATAATTAAAAAAAAATAGTGACGCTCGTTATCACCTAAGTGTTAGCTTATGATAATTTTTCTCATCCATTATGAAGTTTATCCACATTATAACACATTTCCTCATTAATTTTATCGCAAACAAACAAGGTAGCATCATAATAAGAAAATATTTGAGCTTTCGCTCTATCTCGCTGCACTAATAATTAAAATTTCAACAAACGGGATGAGCAATGACATTCGGTAACTAAATAGGTTTGTTAATAGAGTGGTATTACAAAGCGCTATTTCATTATCACTGCACTGGACCTCGTACCCGCCACACCGGGACAAACGCTTGTAACACGCATGGCATCACTCGCGTGTCGCCGCCCCTGAGGCCGCAGTCCTATCGCCTCTATGCCCAGCCACTGCACTGGATCTCGAGCCCTCCACACCGGGATAGACGCTTGTAACACGCGTGGCTTCACTCGCGTGTCGCCGCCCCTGAGGCCGCAGTCCGACCGCCTCTATGCCCAGTCACTACACTGGACCTCACGCCCTCCACACCGGGATAGACGCTTGTAACACGCGTGGCATCACTCGCGTGTCGCCGCCCCTGAGGTCGCAGTCCTACCGCCTCTATGCCCAGTCACTGCACTGGACCTCGAGCCCTCCACACCGGGATAAACGCTTGTAACACGCGTGGCATCACTCGCGTGTCGCCGCCCCTGAGGTCGCAGTCCGACCGCCTCTATGCCCAGTCACTGCACTGGACCTTGCGCCCTCCACACCGGGATAGACGCTTGTATAACGCGTGGCATCACTCGTGTGTCGCCGCCCCTGAGGCCACAGTCCTATCGCCTCTATGCCCAGTCACTGCACTGGACGTCACGCCCTCCACACCGGGATAGACGCTTGTAACACGCGTGGCATCACTCGCGTGTCGCCGCTCCTGAGGCCGCAGTTCTACCGCCTCTATGCCCAGTCACTGCACTGGACGTCACGCCCTCCACACCGGGATAGACGCTTGTAACACGCGTGGCATCACTCGCGTGTCGCCGCCCCTGAGGACACAGTCCTATCGCCTCTATGCCCAGTCACTTCACTGGACCTCGAGCCCTCCACACCGGGATAGACGCTTGTAACACGCGTGGCATCACATGCTTGTCGCCGCCCCAAAATTCATTGAAAGAAATTTTAATGGCATGATAGGTATACATATTTTTTGTTGTAAGGCTATCTATCCTTTAACGTAATTTATTCAAATATTAATATATTATGGCGTAATAGTGTAAAAAAAGGTGTGTCGTGTGACGATGATACTCGCTAATTTATTATGTTTACAGTTTAGTTTGTTTAGTGATTATTATGTAACCAGAATTGTTGGATTGTAAACTTAACACGACCTTATATGCCTACACGTGAAGTCTTTATAGTAAAAATTATCACGTTCCTACTAATTCATTGACCGAAAATATGATTCCAAGATTTAAACAGGTTTTAAAAGAATGGCATAGTGCACCGCAACATGGTAAGTGGTCACCATTGCTTGCAAATTTTTGAAAATACTAGAAAGTATCCTCACGATTTCTTTACCAGAGATATTTGCAAGCGTGTTGCATATTCTGGCCTTATAGATCAAGATCCAAAGACCGCCAGACCTTACTTATTTTCTCATGGACAAAATATGTTTAATCGAGTAGTAGTGTGTACAATGAAAGTATACATACTTGCTAACTTGTGCTGTGGGCCAATTTTTATGTATCAGGTGAAACAGGCACGTAAAAATTTTACTCACTTCACTTACAGTCTGAGCACCGATTTCTACGTATGTTGTAGAGAATATTGTAAACAATTTGAAATTAATACTGCTAGATTAGATTCAAAATAGCTTTTAATAAGTCAATTTGAATATAATGTATATTTAATTTTTTTAATTTAGTGTCAGTCTATCCGTCGGTCAAGATATAGGTATATATTGGTCACTGGATCTACTTATCCTTAAAGCAATGAAATCAGGCTTCTAATCAACACAGTCGAACGGGCCTTGCTCATTTTATGTAGGTTATTTTGACAGTTACAAATGAATAAAAAATACCTATACCGATACACGAATAGGTACTGTAGACTTACATCATGAAATTTGGCAAAAAGCAATAGCATAAAACGCAGCAACAAATAAAAAAATAAAATTTTAAAAACAAACATGAAATATCTTGGAATACCTATAATAATAATAAAAAATTAGAACTGATTTTTCTTATGAATATACTTTTTACGAACACTACAAGTTTGTACGAAACCGTACCAGCCGTATTGTGTAGTGTGCAAGTATCGTACTATCTTTGCACTGTGGATCTATATAATTTCTACCTGAAGGTAAATTTTCATAAATTAAATTTTCGAATTTCAGTCCTCAGTGCGACTTCTGATTTGCACTTATCCATATTGAAATGTAAAAATATGGTAAAGATGGTGTCAAAAAAGGCTTATTATTGTAGGCTGTCAAATCTTGAACACAAATGCGTGTTATTTTTGTAATTTGAAAACCTTGAGTTGTAGTTGTATAATTTTCTTTTCCCCCTTAGGGGCTCATGTTTTGTCTCCATATGTACAACATGATGCTACACACTTTAACTATCTGTCTTAAAAGAGTAGTAAATGTGAAAGAAGCGAAATATTTGTGTACCCCTTGAAACTATGCGTGAAGATAGATGCATCGACTAGCCATTCTCTTTTACTAAAATCTGGAAAAGTCGTTACACCGCCAAGAACCACCGGGCGCAGTGCGCAGATGCAGAGCAGGGCCCTACCCAGTAAAAACCAGACAATAATCCTGTACCGGTCACCAGATACGCAGAATGAGGACTGAGGTCTCCCGGATGCGTGTCGGGAGTACGGGTGTACTCGCGGCATCCGTTTCCAATTTCCCGCGCATACAATCTTTACCTTACCAGTCTGCATAAATGAGGACTGAGGTCCCCGGATGCGTGTCGGGAGTACGGGTGTAGTCGCGGCATCCGTTTCCAATTTCCCGCGCATACAATCTTTACCTTACCAGTCTGCATAAATGAGGACTGAGGTCCCCGGATGCGTGTCGGGAGTACGGGTGTAGTCGCAGCAACCGTTTCCAACTGTCCGCGCATACCATCTTTATCTTACCAGCCTGCATAAATGAGGACTGAGGTGCCCCGAAAGCGTGTCGGGAGTACGGGTGTGGTCGCAGCAACCGTTTCCAACTGTACGCGCATACCATATTAACCCCATTTTAAGCGCTTTTAATCTATACCTTTGTCTTACTTAAGTGCTGTGACGCACATTGTGACGCACATTCATCCAAAAAATATGTTGAAAATAGTTGTGCAAAAAACTCGTCTCTGCCTTACATTCGCCTACTCGTTTGTAATAACCAACATATCCCACTAATATCATAAATAATTATTAAACAATGTTTTGCATTTATTCGATTTACACAAAATATTATCATGCCCATCACTTTGCAACTAAATAATAAAGGTAACATATAAATCCAACAGCGCAGTCCATATGTGTTATTGTGCTTCCGTGGACCCGTTTCATTACTAACTAGCCTCATGGCAACTGCGTTGCGTTCTTGCCGCAAAATGATAATAATATTGGTTGTTTTAAAGACTTGCCGCTTCGTTCTACCTCTCTTAACAATATATCTCACCTCCTGAATAGTGGAAGCTCTGAACAGGTAGCAGTGGAGAAGACCCTCCTTCTCATTAAATAGTATGTAGAACAACTCCTCTGGGACACCTGGTACTTGACAGGCCCTGGGTAAAGAGAAAACATGTTTCAGAGATCTATTGTAGAAACACACTATCTTATTATTATTTTATTTGTAAGTTTATCACTTAATCCCAAATTTACGGAGACGTAATCCAGCGTCAGGATCATATACTCTACCATGATCTCTCTCATCAGTTGCAGCTTTTTTCTACTGGTTCCCGCATCAGAAACGCTTCTCTCCGCAACAGTACTGTTATCCGCATACCCAACAATTCCTGATATAAAGAAGTCATAGATGTATAGCAGGAACCGTGTCGCAGAGAGAACAGACCCCGGCATCAAGAGTCATAAGGTCAGAACAACAACCATCAATGACCACTCTGATCAACCTACGCTCAGGAAATCAGCTACCCAGTTACAAAAGCCAGCAGGGATGCCGTACGCAGGAAGTTTGCTTAGCAGACTTGCATGCCAAACCCTATCGAAGACCTTTGAGATGTCGAGCGAAGCAGCAAGTTCTTCGCAGTGTTTCTCGAGGGCCTTGCCCCAGCAGTGCGTCACTTAAACAAGAAGGGGGATCTTCGTCGACCGTCCCCGGCGGAAACCATATAGACGATCACTGAGTAGATCGTTTTCTCTTAGGTATGAGAGCAGCTTGCGGTTAAGAACTTGCTGCATAACCTTACAGATTATGGAAGTAATGGCGATTGAACGGAAATTAATTACCAAGGGTCGGCACGGTTTTCCTTCTTAGGTACTGGTTGTAAATTTGGTTGTATAAAAGATACAAATAGGAATAAACAATGCTCTTAGTTATCAAGCGACATACTGACTGTTTGATTTCTCATCTCAAGTAACTAGGAGCCAAATTGGTGACCCCGCGCCGAGCTCACAATTTACCCCAGCGTGATCACATCACAAATTTGGCTTTTTTGAAACACGCTTTCATTTTACACGCGGCATCACAAATTTGGCTTTTTTGAAACAAGCTTTCCTTATCGATCTTTCATCATTTTCCTTCTTAGGTACTAGTTGTACATTTGGTTATATAAAAAATGCAAATAGGAATAAACGATGCTCTTCGTTATCAAGCGACATACTGACTGTTTGATTTCTCATCTCCCGTTACTAGGAGCCAAATTGGTGACCCGTGCCGAACTCACAATTTACCCCTGCGTGATCGCATCGGGGTAAATTGTGAACACGGCGTGTTCTAGATTCAAAGCACACGCTGACGCTTTAATGTTTGAAGAGTGTTCTTTTCGCACGCCGTGTTAATGGAAAAATCCTATGGAAAAGATGAAACGGAAACGCGTGCCGAGCGTCTCACGACTATAATATATATATATATATATTTTTTCAAGAAAATTATATTTATTTATAATTAATACTAAAAACAATTTCACATCATAAAACTATAAAATACACTAACTATAAACAAATAAGTGTCTATCTAATTACATAATTACTATATATAAGTAAAATATAAATACTAGAACAATAAAACTAAAACTAAAAACCTTAAAACATAATATATATATATGTGCGTGTGTTTGGGATGCGTGTGCTCGGTGCGTCCCGGTATATATATATATATATAGTATGTAATATATTGTAGCGTGTGACGCTCGTAACGTTTAACGTAACGTAACCCCCCCCCCCCCCAATTTTCATGCTTGTCGGGAAGAGCTGCGCACGCATCCCACACAAATAATCTATCTAGAACACGCCGTGTTCACAATTTACCCCTGCGTGATCGCATCGGGGTAAATTGTGAACACGGCGTGTTCTAGATCCAAAGCACACGCTGACGCTTTAATATTTGAAGAGTGTTCTTTTACATACTATATATATATATATATATATAGTATGTAATATATTATCGCGTGTGACGCTCGTTACGTTTCAGCTTTCGACGAGTTACCCCCCCCCCCCCCCCCCCAATTTTCATGCTCGTCGGGAAGAGCTGCGCACGCATCCCACACAAATAATCTAATTATGAGTGATGTGTGTGCTGCTAGATTATTTAAGAAAAGAAGTTTCACTTCAGATGTGTGGTCCGTGCACTTTTTTTTCTATCTATATTCACCGCTTGTGTCCCTGCTGGGATAGGCGAGTGACTTTATATCGTAGAAATGGGAATAAATAGGATTAACTTACCTTATGATATCTACCAGCCTGTGGACGATGACTGGCTCAAAATTTCTATTGTACGCCTTCAGACATCCATCCTCGACCGCTATGCTCAACTGAAATAGAATAATAAACAATAAAAAATTATTGAGGAGCTCGATGGCGCAGATGGAAAGCGCGTTCGACCTACTATCGATGAAGTCAAGCAACTTTCGCAATGGACTGTCACTGGATGGGTGACCAATAACTAAGCGGTTGGTCCCGGCTGCGTCTGCAGTGGTTAGCACCCATCAATTCGGATTGGGCGCGCGTGGTGGGTTATGACCCAATCTCCCTATTCCATCCTATGCCCCAGCAGTGAGGACATTAAATAGGCATGGTAATGATGAAAAAATTCATTCGTCAAATAGCTCGTTCCAATGGTAGAAATGGATTCAAAAATCAAAGAAAGTTTTAAGTTAAGTTTTGAAATAAAAATTCAATGTGAAATTTCTCTAAAGTGATTTTCGTGTAAATTACTCGTACCTACCTCCTAGTGAAATGGGCATTGATTTAAAAGTCAAAGTTTAAAGTTGAATATCAAAATCTAAAATTAAATTAAAATTTCTTTAAAGTTCAAATTCGATACTTTTGTTTGCCTAGTACTTGTTCTGAATTAAATTTGTAAGTGTTACCAGAAACAAATATGGTATACAACATAGATGAATGATTGGTCTCGCTTCAGTCGAGTGAAGCGAGACTAATCATTCATCTATGGTATACAATCTCTTATCTATTAGACAAGTCCGTCCGTCCGTCCGTCCGTCCGTGGTGCTGTTTCAGCGGCCAAACCGTAAGAGATAAATATAGAGAATGTTTTAGTTATAAGTTAAGAATAGTCTGATAAGACTACAAACCGGATGTGAGTAACGTAGCACTTCCGGTTTTCGAGAAATCACGTGATTTCTATTTCAAAGGAAACCACACAAAATCTCCGAAGTTCTCAATTAATTAAATACCTTTTTTTTTGGTGAACATTTGTTTCACTGGTTTGCTAGTATATGTTTAAAAAGAATAATGCCTATTTTACTATGAATGTCGTCCCAAGCTTGTAACAAGTTAGGACTAGTGTAGACATGTTGTATTAATTGTCTTTAATCATATTACAAAAATATTTTGTTCATATATTATGAAAGGAATTTCAATACAAAGTTATTGCCGATGTTATTACCTATCCAGTTAAAAGCATTTTAAATAGGTACTTTGTCGTTTAGCTTAGTTCATATATTTTTACAAATGTCAAATGGCAAATGTCCAAGAATTGATCGGCAAAAACCATATAAAGGCACTTGGTCAGACCTATTTGTTTCATTTCTGGAGTAGATTGTGGGATGGGAAGTCGATTCCCGGAATTGATAAGCCATCATCTGACAACCCTAGTTGCAGTATAGTTACATACTTATATAATAATACACTTAATTGTGCTCATGATGTCCAAAAGCATACCTTATCAGCGATGCCGGTAGCTCTAATTTCCTTCAACAGCCACGGTAGCATGGCGTTTGAGAACCTTATGTCCAATGCAGTGAAACCGAGGTAATTCACGGACGTGAGTTTGGTTTTCATTCTTTTGAATTTCAAACTGAAACAAAAATATATTTTTAAGTGAAAATTTCATTAGCGGCTTTGTACACTTTTTTTGTATGGGTAAAAAATGATAAACTCGCGTCAGGTTAAACACGTGGGCTGATCGCATTATGACACACAATAAAATTGGAAAGGTTGTTGACTTTCAATATATTTGACGAAACATAGTAATATTTTATTTTACCTTATTATAATAATAAGTCTCTATCTAGGACGTCCACGTGGCAGCTTTATTGCGAAGAAAATGCATTTTTTTACAATAGATGTCGCTAGGTGCGCTTAAATGTGATTCATGTAAGTTGATTTCTTTACAATAGATGTTGCTAAGTGTGCGTAATTTGTGATTTTGCAGTCTCCCTGTGATATAATGTTGTCGTTACATTCATAAGAGGAAAACCCCTTTAGTGTGGTTACCGTAATTATTTCTCGGATAGAACGTAAATAACTTTAACTAATATTAGGCCACAGACCAATAAGGTTTTAGGCATCACTATATGTACTTACAAAAGGATTTTGTTCTCAAAATGTAAAAGATGCGGAGATTTGTCGTACCACTTATTAAAGTTTAGAATCAAAAAAGTAAGAAAAAAATACTTAATTATTGTTTACCCTTTATGAATAAGTCTGTTTTCTGTAAATTGCTGTTAATAAAATCACTAAAAGACTATTTTGAAATACTACTTTTACTAACATAAATCTTTTTTTTATTCATACATAATAAATTCGCAAATGAAAATAGAAATAAAATTGTTTGCAGATAAAACAATCATTTATAAAAACTCGAAAAACTAAAGGAACGAAACGCATGATGAAAACAAAAGAATTTTCAAATTACTTACAGAACAAAAGATTTACCTGAAAATTACTTTCAAAATTCTCACCTTTGTTCTCCCTCCAATCTGTGGAACATCAATTTAAAAGCCAAAAATCAATAAAACCACCAATGGTAACTGTAGTCTTTGCGAAGAAGGAAAACATTCATATTTCCACATAAAATTTACACTAAAAATCCATTGCAGTTTCGAAGTTGAGACTTTGCGCGCACAGAAATTACCAGAAAATACCAGCTAAGTTTTCCGCACAACCCAAAATACTAAGGCACTATTGGAAAATGAAAGGGAAAACTCTGAAAATATAACCATTTCTCTTTCATATTCATTGATTGAAACGAAATAGGACGAAAACTTAAGCGTACTTTAACAATGTTCAAACGAAAATAAACCTAAGATCTTTTGGTCTAAGCTGAAAATTAAAGGCATTGGATTTTGAGTTTATTGTACGGTGGCGACATCTATTGGTAATTCTTAGAACTAGTGACGAAAGCGGTGCTTTTAACAAAGCACTCTTTTGAATTTTTATTAAATTTGCCTTTTGAATTTATGTAACACTTGCTTAAAATATTTGAAATTCAACCCAGATACATTTTGTAAACTGTTACTTAAGATATTTCAAAAATAAAGCTTACAAATATATAGACGATTGCGTCGCCACCTATTAGCATTTGCACTAACAAAAGTTCAAAGGCGGTTCGCTAGATGTCGCTCAGCATGAAAAATGCATGAAAAATCACCTTACGCTTATAAAATTGTGATCCACAAAAAATGTGGAAAAATGACAAGTGATAACATGGAAATTCCACCAACAAGCTTTACATAAATCGTTTTGTGTTCAAATTCTTAAGCCTGTCAAGTAACAAGTAAGTATTGTCTGTAAACATCTGTTTTAACATTGATATCATTCAAATACTTTGTTTGTGACAAAGAAGAAAACAGCTGTTTTATCAGTTCCTTTGTTTCACGCTTTTGTTTTAACAGTAAATATTAATAAAAATGATTCATGTAATTATTACATAATTATATTTCGGTCACGTGTTGCAATCACAATTAGATGGCTTCTCTTCGTATGTTTACGACATAAATATTGATTGAATCCATCAGTAATATCTAAATTAGAAACAACCTAATTTTCTCAATGAAAACTTTTAAAATTTGCTATCCAATGACTTAAGTTGGTATTTTTTTTTTATTTGAAAGCATAAATATAAACATATTTCATTTGAAAAACGTGAAATCACTAGAGGAGTACACAAAAAAATAAAAAAATCTGCATGGGTATTGTGTATTATAGTTCCTGTATTTTCCGCGCGCTGACAGCGCCACTAACACATTAATAAAATTTGACCTTTCAGATCAAACTCTCGCAAATCGTTAATTAATAAGAAAATTAAATGGACTTCAGCAAGAGTTTTAATAAAAACATGTTGCTTTTAAGTAATAAGAATGGTGTTTTATATGTAATTCAGTTTCAATGAGGTAAGTTTTATACACTTCATGATTGTTTTTAAGATTTTTTTTGTTTTAATTAGAATGTACGCTAATTATTGATGATGATGAACATGAAGTTGTTCATGGGAGTTGAAACTAGCACTTTATATATTTAGTCCTATACTTCTTTACTATTTGATAATGATTTTTTTTGGCTTGAATAGAAATTAACAGAAATCTTGCCTTAATTTTAAAACAAGTATACTTACTTAATCCATAATTATAGTAATATAAGTTATTTACGGGATTGTTACCATGTACCTTGTTTTTAGCGAGTTTCCGATATTTCGGCACTGTTGCAAGCGCCATGATCACTTATATTACTATAATGTTAGTGACCATGAAAGTTTAAAAAAATATATTAATTCATAATTCACACGTGATAACTTACTCAAAATTAAATTAAAAGATATTCAATAACTCAACTTTTTCAGTTCAAAATTGTATGGTCCCATACCCGAAAAGTGACACTGGGTCCCTGTTAATTCAAAAACTTTCATTAGTAGTACAAAATAGACATAACAGAAGGTAATATACATACAAAATGGGATTGAGCAACGCACATATAGACACCGCTCACGGACACGATATCTCGAACCAATCCAGACCACTGCGACCGTTTCTGCGGCATATTTGAAAACGGAATTTTTATTTTCGTTTTTTCTATAACTGATACCTATATGCAACAGAATAGGGTATTTGACACAATTAAAAATAAAGTGCCAATTGTGAGCATCTGTGTTTAGAATGAATAATGGCAGGGGTTTTTACTATTTTTACAAAAAAAATAAGTATTCATAATTTTACTAAAAACCCACGAACAAGATTTCTTATCTATTGTCACGTGACCCAAAACGCTTGGGATTGCCGGAGCCTAAAATGACGTCACACGCAAGTAAACTTCCGGTTAAAGTGACATTACATTGTATCGTTTGACGTTTTAATAACAGTCGTGTGACGTCACACACTAGTAAGACGCCATATTGTCCAGTGCTAAACGTTTTCGCGGCAACTTGAAAATGGAGTTTTTTATTTGGTTGTTTTTACTGAAATACACAACAAAATGATGAATATCCACTTTTTACGGACTCCATAAACATTAGTCAATAACGTGAGATCGTTTTCTAAAACTTGTCTAATACCCTATTGAAAATATCGGTCTTTTTACCCTTATAAATAACGTATGAATGTTTTCAAAAACTTGTTAAATAGCCTAACGTTATAAATAGTTTTCAGTTTCCTAAAATCAGCAATGTTATTACTTATTTATTGACATTTCTTTTCCAGGACAGAAATGGAGCAAACGATTGTGTTATCTTCTTCCACCACCTCCTTCATAGATTCCAGTGCAGATGAGAGTACCGATAGGAGATCTTCTAGAAGATCCTTGGTCAAGAAGAATGGTCTGCTCAGAGTGAACAGTGTACGGAGCTGTGACGGCGACTCCGCTATAGACTGCCAATGGTAACGTATTAATAAATAAATGTATCTCATTAATATCTACCTTTTGAATAGGTATGCATATAACGCGATTCAAGTAAGAATAGGAAAGCCAATGACCTCCATCTGTCAAATGTCGCTTGAAAAGTACAGTTTGCAAAAAAATCTCGGAACACTTTTTTAGCACTCAGCTGGTTCTAGAATAAATACTTATAAATTTTTAAACAAACAATAACAAATGTTGATAATTAATATTAGTTGTTTTTTTTTCATTTATTGAGCTTTGGCTATGAATGGTTGATAACCTAAATCGTTAACCAAATATCACTTTATGTTGCGTTCGAAAACTCGATTTAAAACTTTCGTTTACATATATAGGATGCATGTTCGTATGTGACCTGCATGATTATTCAAAACTTCTCCGGGGGTAATGCAGAGAGATGAGCGAAATTGAAGAGCTAGAATCTGATAATGTTTTATTTCACACAGTCTTAATAAAGAAATAATATTAAATATCGGTTGTGTTCTTTCTCAACCTTAGTAAATTAATTTTATTAAAAAATCTGATGTTTTTCTCACTTAACTTAGTAAATAAGTTTTATTAAATAGCTACATTTTTTTGCTCACTCTACTTAATTGGTTTGAATTGACAGCTATGACGTTAAAATATGGCGCCCAGTCGGTCCTATTCTTAGTTGAATCGCATTATATATCTTTCATAGTGTCACTAAAATGTTTTTACTGATAAGTAAGCACAACTTATTGATGCGTAACATCTTTTCTTTCGCTCCCCTGCAATTTGTGGGAGTGATTTCGTGAAATAGGACGGAAGTGTGTAACAGGAAGTCGCGAAAGCGCCCGCTATTTGATTTGATTTTAGAACATAATGTTCAAATGGCTTATTCCTTTTGTTAGTAGGTTTTATTTCTTTTTTTATTAAAATAAGGTGAGGTTTCAAATATTACACATCATACGCGACTATTATAAGACTCGCTCGTTTTTTTTTATATCGTTCAAGTCTTTATATTTAAGTTTTATTTTGTTTTTGGTACATTATGTATGAGAAGTTTTACACTGCTGTGACTCAAGACTTGCGGCCGAATTTATTTTTCAAATTCAATTGATATTATTGAATTATTTGTAAGTGAAATACATCCCCAAATATTATATCCGCCATTTTGTATTTACTGTTCCAATTTTGAAATCATTGCTTCTTAGAAAAAGACAACAAAAATATAAGTATTTACATACATTTGTGATTTTTGTGTTTTGAATATAACATGTTCTTTGTTTAAGAGCCCTTACACCCTGAGAAAAGATTTTGACTATTTCCAATAGAAGTTAATAGTAGATTTATTCTTCCTATTGTAAGTTAATTCGCAAATACTATTTTCCTTTTTTTGTACTGATCGTTCTACTGCAGCTAGTTTACGGAATAAACGATAATATTTACAACTTCAAACGCCTCAATCTCTCAATAATATTCAATAAATTAGATTAAATTAATTACTGCGACACCAGAAATATGTTGTTGTTGTGACAAAAAGTATTAGAATTTTGATTTTCCATCTCATTAATTATCAAAAACAAACATCTAACCTCCGTAAGATTTCTCACAAAATAATGCAGGTTTACCTCGTATTTTGATATTAAATTAAATAGGATTACTCTCAAAAACTTTCATAAAACTAATCTACCATCATTGAACTACTGAAATATGTCGACCTATGCATAGAATAAAGTTACATATGAAAATGTTACCAAATTGCTTTTATGGTACTTTTAGGCGGAACGGACGCATATGTTTTACTGGTAAAAACATTTATTCTAAAACCTATATAACTTTGAAGATAGCAATTGAATAAAGGTACATGTGGTTTTTTGTTTCCGAAGAATATAAAGCCAAGAGCATAAACACCTTTAAGATAGGCAAGAACGCGTTTGATCGATTTTGCCCAATCTTTGCCATATTATCATAATTTGACGCGACAGAAAATATAAATTACGTAACACAAAGTTATATATACACATAATTTGACACGTTTCCCAAGCATAAGGTCTGATATGCATATGTAACATAAAGATGTCCGTAGTAAATTGTCACATAATCACATAAGAAACTCTTAAATAACGAAATATAAGCCGTGACTGTAGTTTTTAAACAATAAATGCGTCATAATTTGCTTCTTAATGCTTTATATGATTAGTAAAAAAAATCAAATGATAGAAAAATAACAATACAAGTTACAGCATATTTTACATTTTACATACTTAAAATCGCTCTACTGTAAAGTTGTGATTATGCAGAAGTAGCTTTATTCTATGGATAGGTCGATGTATATATTTTTATAATTAGTTCATTGATAATTATTTTATAAGACTCAAACAGCACCCGTAAAATGCAATATATACTAGTGCAAATCTACCTACGCGCCGAT